TATATATATATATATATATATTATTTATTTATATTATTTATTTATATTTATATTTTTGTGTGTACATGTATCTATACATATATACAGTATATACATGTATAAAAATAAATGTATGTATATAGACATATGTAGATACATACATACATATATACAAACACATACAAATACATAAGTATACACATATGCATACATATCTAAATATATACATACATGCATTGATATGTATACATACATACATATATATATATGTGTGTGTGTGTGTGTGTGTCTATATTTACATGCATGCATGTTTATATATGTATGCATTTATGCATGTATGTATGTGCATAAATAAATAAATAAATATATATATATATATATATATGTATATCTGTGTGTGTGTGCGTGCGCACATCGCACGTATAATATAATAATAATAATTGTTACTTAGAAAAATGGCAACATGTGTGAATAACCAACAATCTTCATTTATTATTTTATTTAAATGTGACTGCATTAAGATACAAAAGATTGTTTATAATTTGTTATCAACTTTATCTTATTTTGTAAGAAAAAATTTAATACATACATAAGGACTCTTTTTTGTATAAAAGGATCCCTAGTGCTACCATTTAAATGATGGAATGATTATTGATGACATGTTTGTTGACTACTCCCTCCACCCTCCCTCCCTCCCTCTGTCTCTCTCTTGTACTTTTGCTTTACTCTCAATCGCCTTCTTACTTTAGATTCCTTAAAATAATCGACACACAGTGTGCTCTAACAAGATTCCCATCCCACATACTCTTTGTATTAGAGTACAACAACAACAACTAAGAGAAGTCGGTTACATTAATCCTCTTTCTCCATTATGTAGTAATGAGTGTCATATTTTTACTTAATTTTAATAAATTAAGAATGTTTATATACAACATGCCCAGGTTTTTTTATGTCTACCTCTACCTTCCTTGGCATATGTTGAATCTAAACCCTCTCCTAACCCAATCACCGGTACTTTTAGTATTAGTGTGAGCTCTAATATTATGAGATTAGTTCCACGTGAAAGTTTTTACTCTATGTTTATAGTATTATATTTCCTTTTATGTTATGTTGTTTTGGCGCCAGCATATTGCCTTCCTTGCTGACACTGCAGTAGGACACCACCCAAAGTAGCAGCCAGCCAACTCTTATTCAATAACGGTCACCTCCTTACAACCAGAAGATGTCTATCAATACAACTCCCAAGGCAGTCAGCCCTGTTCCCAGCTAATTTTTACTTCAAAATCCTACTTAAAACTACCTCCATAAGGATCAATGAATTTGAGGGATGGAAAGAGTTGATGCAAGATGTGAGTTAGGATCAATGAAAATTGGGATGGAGCAAACACTATTGCATGGCAGACAAAAGCAACCACAAGCACCTCTAAACCTAAAGAAAAAATTGGTTCAAGTTCTGACTACAAATCTAATTTGACTGAGATGCTTCCAGAATAGTCGCACTATGGCTTTTATCCTTTTGTAGCGCCTCTTCTGTTTGAACATTTGCAAACAAGCGAGAATGATGAGCAATAGAAGGTTAATAGGGTATGATGGAAGCAACCTAAGAGAAGTCATCCAAAATCCGAAAAAAAAAGTCAAAAGAGGAAGAAAGATGGATCCATGTTAGAAATTAAAATAATATGCAAAGCACCAATTGGACATGAAGGAAGAGAACAAAAATGAAATTTGACTTGAAATACAATGAAAGGATGAAAGAGACTTGGCCAACTTAGCATGCCCACCCTTAATCTTATTCGAACAATGGAGGTATTTTAAAGCTTCATGTTCCAAATTTAAAATAAATTCATTCAACAACAAGTATTAGTTTTTAAAGAATGGACAATTGTATGTTGAGTTTCGTGTCAAATTCAATTTTTATTTGAAATAGGCAATGGGATGCCTATTCTGACTTAAAATGCCACCAATACTCACATTTTGATTCAATTCAAATAGACATGTGGGAAGAAATTGAATGCAAAACTGTCTTAAAGCACTCCAGTACATCTCTGCACAGCCTCTGGGCTCGTACAAGATTGATTATAGGAAATAAAAGTAAAAAAAAATAATTAGGATCATGCAAGATTCATACAAAAAGCAGAACAACATATTAAAGCATCAACGGGCTAAACTGTATCTAGCGTTATTTCCACAACCATCATGCCAATACCAAGACAAAGAGAGTACATCAATTAGATAACATTGAGCAAGGTCATTGATAGCAATCAGTGTTCTAGTAAATCAATAAGTCATGTCAACACATGATGTGTAACAGAATTCAAATCTTAACTAGCCAAAACAACAAACCAAATCAACAGAAAGGGATAAAAATTGATGGGCACTAGCCAAAACAACATTAGTAGCGAAATCTATAAATTAATAGAAACCTACCAAAAATACTCCTCACAACCATGGTATATGCAAGGATCAATTGCTTTCTTTTTTCATATTCGCCTGCAGTTGGAAGCAGGCTGCAATAAACATCAAGAAGTAAAGCTTCAAGTTCAGACATAAAAGCAGCATAAAATTTGCTCTCCTTCAATTCCTTTAACTCCAACTTTGATGCCTTCTTGCAAAGATCTAGATTAAATGAACAAGAAAGGGATGATGAAATCGATGAACAGGCCAAATGCACTGGCAATTAAAAAAATAATTAAATGGAAAGATAATGATATTAAGTTATAACAATATTTTATGGGCATGCAATGCTTATTTACACTGTATTTCCTAGCTTGCATTCGCATTCAGTTAGGTTGTTTCTCAAATTTATTAAATTTACAGAAGTTGGGGGTTCACTCCAAATGCCAATTGTTAATGCTGTCTAGCCATTGCTAGCTCTAAAAGCAAAAAAATAAAAAGGAAAAAAAATGATTATGACCTTATGATGAAGATGGTTACATATAAAGCGCTAAATTTTTCACTTAAACTCATTAGATATCCATTACCAATCTACCAATTTATCTATTTTGACGGTCTTATATAGGATTAAAATGTCAAACAAATAAATAAAATAACACCCGGAAAACTACAAAATATGTACTGAAGTGAATATATAAGAGATGATAGATAAGTCATCAATCTATTATATCTACATTTTTATGTGTGAAAAAAAAAACTAAGAATTGAATATGATATTGTTAAATAATAACAAAAACAAAGATACTAAGAAGTCGTTCATTCAACAATTTCTGAAATGCATTGTCATCTAAATTTATTAATATCACATTTTCAAAAATCTTAATGATAGAAATACAACTGATTCCGTCATTTTCCTGATCAATTTTATTGATCGTATAAATATCAGTGATGTCAACAAGAATCAAAGAGGATTTTATCTTTTTCCCTCTGGTGTAAGTTCAACTAGGATAGCTTAAATTATTACATATTGATTGTACCAATAATACATTAAAATGTCATTCCAGTAGCTACTAACTTAAGATGTAGATGAACCAACTGTTCTCAATTGCTATTAAGATAATATAATAACAAAAATATGAGTGAATCAATTGTCTCTGATGTTTCTTGACATTTAAGTGTCAAACGAATCACTCTTGACTGCCTTCTTCAAAGTAAATTTCAAAACAGATTTACAATTCCTTCATTAAATTTATAAATGTGTTTTCTTTTCTTATCACATACAATTACACTGAAACAAAACCAACTAAAACATAACCAAGAGAAAAGAGTGGTATAAAGGAGTATTGTCACCTGCTTGACCTTGCAACATGATTTCAGAACCTGCACAAAGATGAAAGTAATAATTTCAAGCTTCAAAATTTCACTTTTCAAAGAAATGAATGCACATAAAAGTCTATCTCACAGTCATATTATAAACTTACAACTTGTAATGCAAGTAAAGCTAGATAAAGTGTCACGAGGTTGTGAACAATAACATGTTATGTAGGTTAAAATTATGTCCCGGAATAAAAGAAGATGGCGAACAATTTGTATAATTATCACATCATAGCTTAAGGCCTCCTCCTAAGCATTGCCTACATGGAACCATCTATCGTTTCTCCTAAGGAATCACTATTGCATAGATGAGACTTTAAAATACCACAAGAAATTTAGCGTAAAAAATTCAAATAAAAATGATTTGAACCTTCTGTAACAGAGCCGGCATATTATTGAGAACGCGACTCAATATCCAGAAACATTAATTTGAGGAAGTCAAAAAACATGTGAATCTAAGTATCTATCATAATATTTTTTCCTATATAAAGTTAGCATATCAACTTGAACAAGGCGTATCCATAATGTGATAGCTCATGCCATTTCCCAAAAACAGCAAATTCTAACTGGAATCAAAATCAATATAAAGAAAGGTTATGCCGGTGAGTGGAACCTTAACTTTTGTAGTTTAGAATCTGGCTTGCACAAATACCATGAAATGGTTGCCTTTTGGATTCGGTATACCATTTAAACTTAATTTGTTTTCTTTAGTTTTTATATTTCTCATAGTTACATTGACCATACAACATTTTATCCGTAGAAATGAAGAAATTTGTGCCCGAAAGTTCACTAAGTCGTGGTAGTGGCAACTCACAACCAACTCTTGATGAGGACTCACCGGTACAGTTCGGAGAACCCAGGAGTTTAACTCGCACATTGCAGTGGTCGAAACAACAAAATGTTGTTCTAGAAGAGTTACTTATGGAGCAAAACATCTGTGGAAATATTCTCTTGGGTGTGCTGAAAAAAAGTTTATGGAGTGATATCGTCAAAACACTTAATAGACGATTAGGCGCGTCATATTTCATACCAGTTGTGATGACTAAGTTAAAAAATATGAAAGTCGATTTCAAGATTGTGTATGAACTATCTAATGGATGTGAAGAGTCATACTTACCAGTAGCAACCAATGAGCTATGGGAAGAGATCCTAGATGTAAGATAAATATAACTTATTCCAAATTATTGCACTTACGTAATTGTGCTTGCACGAATAAATTAAAGTCAATGAATTACAGAGATATTCAAGGTTGAGTCCTTTTAGACGAAATCCATTTCGCCAGTACAATATATTCGAAAAGATTTGTGTGCAAAATATTGTTGTGAGTACGAGCAAAATAGATAATTGATGAAGATTTTATGCGAAAATCTGTTTGTGAGACTGTAACTGCACCAATGGATTACATAGTCGAAGATGAATTCATGGCTTCAAATGGAGTTACCTTTATCGAGGATCTTAGCACGCCGACAAACCATGTGCAGACCTTCAACAGTTACTCAATGGAAGATCAAGAGATAGACCCACAAAGTGTTGGAACCAAAAGAAGCAGCGTTGATAAAATTTTGGTGTCTCGGTAATCTAAAAAAAGAGCCGATAAGGAGGCATTTAACAAATTAATCTCTGCGCGGGTGGAAAACATTGCGGGCTCTAAAAGAATAGTTGGATCATAACACCCTGGTATCAATGAATGATTGTCTTACAAAAATAGGAAATTTAGTCGAAATATCGGAAGAAGCCGCACTAGCCGTTCTGGATGTGCTCAACAAAGATGAAAATAATAGGTATGTTCTCTTAAGATACCACGGTCCTAAGCTTCAAAGTTGGGTTGAGCACATTCTAGCTAAACAACCTCGTTATTATTCATATCTAACATAGATTTGAAGATCGTCGACTATAGTTTGTTTTAATTGTATTTTATTTATTTCACTGAGAGTGATCCTCTAGCATCATTATTGTACTGTAGTTTAATTTTCCTTTGTATTTCATATCTTTTGTTATATTAGTTGTGTTATTTTGTTCAATCTATCATTCAAGTAGCCTTTTCCATTGTAACCATTTTTTATTAAAGCTCAATGAAATATTATCTCCATGTCGTATTGTGTACTAAAAAAATTGTTTCAATATCACAGGTATGTCTATTTACTCTCGCGGAACATTATCGAACAATATGTACAATCTCATTAACAATTACATTAATGTAACTAACGCCCTTACTAAGCTATTACCTAGAGTGATGGATAGTAGTTCATTCGACGTTGATGAGGTCCTACCGAGACTGATGTTTAATAGGGCATACACGGGACATCATTATGTTATGGTTGTCCTTGTTGGGCATCACAGACGTTGCTATAATTATTTCAGGCTCCCAACATTAGCATTTACCCAATTATGAACATTCTAATAAATCACAATATATTAATAGATACCAAAAATATGACTGTTTTGAAACAACTTGGAATTTTTCTTAGAGGAGTTGCACATTCTCATTCTTATAGACAATTGTGTGAATTCTTTCAGCATTCGTTGGAAACAGTTAGGAGGTTCTTCAATCGTGTAATGCAAGTCATTATCTCTCTGATTGAAAAATATATTTGATTGCCAACCGAGGATTTCGAATATCACCCATTCATACAATTTAAGCAACAATTTTATCTCTTCTTCGAAAATGTCATTGGGGCAATCGATGGTAGACAAATTCCTGTTGTCGTTGATCGGGATTCACATAACAGATATCGTAACTGAAAAAGATTCACATCAAAAAATGTGATGGTGGTTGTTTCATTTGATCGTCAATTCGTTTTCCTTGCAACTGGTTGGGAGGGATCATCAGCTATATGAGGGTCCTTCGATGGTTGGTTGACCAAGGGTCTTTTCGTGTGCCACAAGGAAGATACTATATCGTTGACTCGGAATATGTTAATACTAACAAATTTAAAGCACCTTATCATAGTTGTCGATATCTTCTTAGTGAGTACCGTGGATTATGAACTAGGAGTTACTCTTGGAGCAAAAGAAACGTATAACCATCATCATGCCCAATTATGAAATGTAGTTGGCAGAACATTTGACATATGGAATGAGAGGATTCAGATTTTAGCACACATGCGTCAGTTTCCATTAGACATATAGAACGATATTGTGATTGCTTGTGTCATTTTACATTTGATGAAACACTTGATTTGATGAAGAATTAGGGGAAGTTTAAGTATTGTTTGACGTGGTGGCATAGCAGCTTGGATGACTTATGCTTTCACATGGTGACCGTTGCACCGTGCACCATTGCTGGAAAATATATGGATGTCCCTAATACTAAAGCATTGTCAACTGTGATGTGCTTATGGTTTAAAACAGACGGATGTTAGTTATTATTTGCATTTTTTTATTACTTGTATATGGAGAGAAGGGATTTTTGGCATGTGATATTTAAACATGGCATGGAACATTCATACTTGTATCAATGTATGACCATGAGCTTGATCCCAAGCATTAGCCACTCAAAATCTATGTCAAACATTGCCTGGTGCTATTGAATTATAGCTTGTCTTCAACCAAATCAGATTGCCCAGTGTTGTTGAAATGGTGCGAGAAAGGCTAGTTGTATGAATTTTCATCTCTTTGAATTATAGTTTAAAAAGTGTTGACGTTTTTGTCTAGTTGTTCCATCCATCAGATCAGACTGCTCTTGATGTTGAGACAAAAATTGGACCTTTGCTTGCTGAAAACAAAAAGTTTTTTTAATGAACTATTGACACTTATGACGTACTGAAAAATGTTCCAAAATTTTATATTACTTTTGCTCGGCATAAGATTTGGGAATGTTAAAAACAGTTTTTTATAATCTGAAATTATAATCACTTGTTTTTTTAGAGAGAACCTCAAGAACATCTATGTATGGCTCTTTTTTTTACTCCAACATGTCACCTTCTAAAAGAACTCTTTGAGGTGGTGGGCATCCCAGGATTTAATGCTTTTCGGCCCTACAACAAGCCTAAGTGGGACTTTTTGTCCGTGACATTCTCCTCCACCCAATCACGTGATGTCCTCCTCGTCACGGATCGGCTCCTCACGGATCGGCTCCACCGAAGGTCCCACTGGACCATGGAGAGTCCACACACCTGGCAGGCAGTAATCTGGTCTGATACCACTTGTCGCCTCCCAAAAGAGCTCTTTGGGGTGGTGGACAGCCCAGGATTTAAATCCCGTTTCGGCACTACACCTAGCATATGTGAGACTTTTTTGTCCGTGACAAACAACTGTTAACTGGTTTTTAAATCCTGCCAGAACTTGTAAAACAGTATTACAGGATTTATAGGATTTTGTAAATCCTTTGCCAGAAAGTTTTCAGAATTTAGTAAATCCGGATTTATGTTATTTACTAAATCCCAATAAGTTAAATCCCATCTGTTGCCAGACAGCCCCTAAAAGCCTGATATGATAAAAGCAATAAAATTATATGGCATGACAAAAGCTAACTATATGGCATGACAAAAGCTAACTATATTGCATGACAAAAGCTAAATGTTGCTGCAGCACGATAAACTGTTTGGCTGTTGGTTTCAGTTTTTACGATTTCTCGGAGGGATTTAACAATCCTGAATTCAAACATTTGTTTCGCCGTAACAAACAGATATGCGTGCAACAAAAGATAAATTCAATCCAACAGTAAAGTCATGTAGATAAAATGAATCGCGAACAGTGAAAAAAAACCACAAAAACAAAAAATATACATCCAACGAAAAAACAAAACAGCACGTGTATTTGCCTTCGGAACCTGCGTCAAAGATGCGCCGACAAGCGTCGATGGCCAGAAGGAGGAAGGAGACGAAGACGACGGAGACAAGTTGGAAAACCAGAGAAGGAATAAGGGTTTCGGTGGCGGAAAAGCAGAACCTTGACCCACCTAACGTCCTCTGGCACCTGGATCTGTTATGGCGGCACCGTAGTTTCGGGTCAAGGAAATCTGTTCGTGATATATAAAAACCATATTATCGAGCATGACGTTGAGGCCTTTGCAACTATACTCCTCTTCTGAATATGCTGTAGCTCCTCATAATTATTTTGCGCCTTATGCATAAACTAAAGAATAAAAATTTGTTTATTGGTGTTGTACTCATTTCTCTAAATAAATAAATATATAATTGATGTACTATTTTTAAATAATTTACTTAACTAAATCAACTAAAATTATTTATTAAAAAATAAAATTAAAAATATATTAAGTTTTACTTAAATAATATAACTTAAAACTCATTTTTTTAATATAAATAATATAACTTAAAACTCATTTTTACACTAAAAATCTTACAATTGTTTGACTACATATGTCAAAGTGGCTCGTTATCTACGAACAACTTGTGTTTGCCTTGCTAAGCAAATGCGCTAACATTATTTTTTTTCTTAATATATTAACAAGTCAAACTCGAATAGTGATATTTTTTAATGAGTCGAACAAAAGCCGAGTCTGAGCTCGCTCGAGCATGGCTTTTTTACGCCCCTATTTGTAACTATGTAAACCTAATTAAAATATTATATTGAAAAAAACTATCTAGGTATCTAGTGTTAGTGGTTGTTTGGTTGCAAGCAAATTTGGTTTAAAATATGATTTAGTGAATTCTATGAATCCAAATTTATGAAATCTTAAAGGGTTAAATTATGAAAACTGTTGGGTGTGTTAAGAAGTAAATCCTAATAAATGCAGAGAAATTTTTTTACAATTTTAATAAGATTTATCATCCTCAACGCTTTAACTTTTCTAAAACATGTCTATCCTTATTCCCGCTAGATTTAAGGTAAAATGGGATACTTATGAATGCCTTTTTAGCCGTTTGGAAGGATTTTGCATAAATCTTGTGTAAATTCTCCTTAAAATCGGCCGCCAAACAACCCCTTAGTGTCTAGCTTGGTTGTTTGGCTATTTGGATGCAAATATAATTCAATCAAAATATTGTAAAATATTTTTTTGAATTAAATCCTAAAAATAAATTTAAATGTAAATTCATATAAATTTAAGTAAACTTTTCATCGTTTATTTAAATTTTAAGGATGTGCATGCCCAAGGAATAGCTTACCATATTTATTTAACTCATATCAACATTAGTTAAATTAAATTTAATATAGTAAAATATTGAAAATAATAAATAATTAGTGATTCGATACATATTTATTATTGTCTCCCACAACATTCATTGTAATGGAGTCACAATCCAATGCATATTTAGATAAAATAACAGATGCATAAGATATTGATTTTTTTTGTCTTAAAAATCCAAAAAGAAAATCACAGAGCCTAACTTAGCTAAAATTATTTCACCAAATAAATGTAAACTACAGGGAGTTGCATGTTTGAATTGGATAATGTGAGGTCTATAAAATATGCATTATTAGGTTAACCTACAATAATAGTGATAAAAACATATTGTGCCATTAAGAAATGAGAGGTGATTGGAATCTTATTCAAACTTAAAATGATACCAATACGCACATTTGATTTTATTCAAATAAACATGTGAGAAGAAATTGAATGCATAACTGTCTTAAAGCACTTCATTTTATCTGTGCTTGGCTTATGGGTTCATAAAAGATTGATTTTTAGAATAATAGGTAAACCGAAATAAATAGGATCATACAAGATTCATAGAAAGAGCAAACAATATATTAAAGCATCAACAGACTAAGTTGTATCTAGAGATATTTCCACGACCATGATGCCATCACCCAAGAAACAGAGCGTGCATCAATCAGATAACATTGAGGAAGATCATTGAGAACAATCAGTGTCTAGTAAAATGAATAAATCATGTCAGTTTATGATGTGTAAAAGAATTAAAATCTTACCTTACCAAAATAACATGTCAAATCAGCATAAGAAGAACAAAATTGATGGACAACTGGCCAAAACTAGCATAAAAAATTTGTCATTCTATCAGTGGTGAAAGGTATAAATTAATTGACACCATACCAAAACACTCCTCGCAATTATGTTCTATGCAAGATTCAGCTGCTTTCGTTTTTCATAAACATCAAGAAGTAAAGCTTGAAACTCGGGCATAAAAGTCGGATGAGATTTACTCTCCTTCAATCGCTTTATGTCAAACTTTGATGCCTTCTTACAAAGAGCTTGATCAAATGATAAAAGAAAGGGATGATGGAATAAATGAATAGGCCAAATGCACTTCCAATAAAAAATATTATTTTATAATGGAAAGATAATGATATTAAGTTAAAACATTTTATTTTGGGCATGCGATGCTTATTTACATTGTATTTCTTAGTTAGCATTATGATTCAGCTATACTGTTTCTTTAATTTATTAAATTTAGAGATGTTCGCTCCAAATGCCAATTATTAATGCTCTCTAGCCATTGCTAACTCATAAATAAAAACAAAAAAATTTATGACGTTCAAATGAAGATGGTAACACGTACAATACACCAAAAATTTCACTTAGAACCTCATCAGACATCAATTACCAATGTGCCAATTTATCTATTTTGACAGTCTTATATAAGATCAAAATGTCAAACAAATAAGTAAAATAACGCCCAGAGAACTAAAAAATATGTACCAATGTGAATATATAAGAGATGACAAAACATTCATCAATGTACCATATCCACATTTTATGCGAGAAGAAACTTAAGAATTGAATGAGATAATGCTGAATAATAACAAAACCAAAGATCCTAAGAAAATGGATCTAGGAGTCATATGTTCAACAAATTTTTAAATGCATTGTCATCTAACTTTATTAATATCACATTTTCAAAAAATCTTAATGATTGCAATACAATCGAATCTATCATTTTCCTGATTAATTTTATTGATCGTATAAATATCAGTGATGTCGACAAGAATTAACAATTGTTTTATCTTTTTCCCTCTCATGTGTAAGTTCAATCATGGTAACTTACATTATTACATATTGATTGTACCTATAACACATTAAGATGTCGTTCTAATAGCTATTAACTTAAGATATAGGGGAACCAACTGTTCTCTGTTGTTTCATTTTTTTTTCTAATGAGTCACCAATTTGTTCATCATCGCATACTTCCTTTTTTCCGAATAAGTCTCTATTTTCGGAGCATGTGAATGATCAGGAGAAGAGAGTAACCAGACAATACAAACATTCGACAAAGATGACAAACAAGAGAAATAAAACGCTGAGAGGCTACGTGTGATAAATCCCATGAGAATAAGTTGAGTAAGAACCAAAACAAGATCGGGTAGAAGTATCTTGGACTAATATCCACGAAAGAATACCTATGTAAACTACCCACAATGCCACGACCAGAGATTCAGGCGTGTTTGTCTATTTTGGGGTTCAGATTGCTCCAAAAGGAATGTATCCCGCTTGATTAATTACATCTTGAGGGTTGCCCAAGAATACTCTTAATCATAACATTGGGTTATCAAAGGATAATTATTTCGCATGAAAATACTTTGATGCTTTCAAAGCTCCCACCGCGGGAGGAGAGCGAGTCTCTCATGGTCTCACAAGAGTAACAAACTCACCGGCATACGAAGCCTACGAAATAGCGAGATCATGCAGACAAGGTATCTTGACACGTCAAAGCACATCCAGGCTATAAGGGCAGAGGACAAATCTCCATATTCCAAATGAGCAACAGCTCATCTGTAATCGAGTCATCAATATGATATCAACGAAGGCAAAAGGAGCGACAGATGTATTTGGGCGTTTTGATACATGGGGTAGAAGTATATAGAATCAATTAATTGGAGTATTGAATCCAGTAGCTGCAATTTGTTGAGGTGGTTATGAGTAGATGACATAGCTAGACTGTATGGTTGAAGCTCCACTTTTCAATTATCCTCGTTATTGTCTTTAATATGGACAATTTTACTGTTGCAGATGTAAAAAAAAGTAGATGCTTCATAAATAAATGCATAAATTATTTGTGATATGTATTCTCAAATATTTTTTAATAACCATCAAAGCTGTTTTTTTTTTAACTCGAAAGTGATCCATTATATAGATGATATGATGACACATTTTATTCTAATCATCGATGAGCATATATTTATTTTGTTCACTTGGCTAATAAGTTAAAGATAATGGTGCAAAATATGTTTGTAATGCATAGTTCAAATGACGCACGGTTGGAAAGAGAGTTGAATTATTATAAGGGAGATAATGATTCATATTAATGTAATGTTAATTGAATTCGTTACTTTTTTATTTTTAAATGAGTCGCAAGTTCGTTCATCATCGTATACTTTCTTTTTCCAAATAAGTCTCTCTTTCCGGATCATGTGAATGATAAAAGAGTGACAAAAAAATTCAAACATTCGACAAAGACGACAAACAAGAGAAATAAAACGCAGAGAACCTACATGTGATAAATCTCATAAGAATTAGTCGAGTAAGTCCGCCAGAACAATATCGGGTACAAGCATCTTGGACCAATATCCACGAAAAAATACTATGCTGACTACACACAAGACCACAACCAGAGATTCATGTGTGTTTGTCTGTTTTGGTGTTAAGAGTGCTCCAAAAGGGATGTATCTCACTTGATTAATTACATCTCGAGGGTTGTCCAATAATACTCTTGATCCTAGCATTAAGCTATCAAAGGACGATTATTTTGCATGAAAATACTTCGATGCTTTTAAAGCTCCCGCCACGGGCGGATCTCATGGTCTCACATGAGTAACAGACTCACCAGCATACGAAGCCTACAAAATAGCTAGATCACGCCGACGGGGTATCCTGATACGTCAAAGCACATCCGGGCTATAAGGACAGAGGGCGAATCTCCATATCCCAAACGAACAACAGTTCATCTATAATCTGATCATCAAGATGATATCACGAAGGCAAAATGAGTGACATACCCCAACAGGAGTAGTCAGAGGAAGGGAAGAGTGATCCTTATATGGTAAAGGTAGCCGGGTATGTATACCACATACCCTTTATCCCATGCTACTAGTACCCTATGTCTATTTGGCTGTGAATGTAGTCGGCTCAACTCGTTCAC